GTAATGACTTAATGTGGTTATATTATGTATTAACCCTTTCAATGCTAGACGTAAATCCACTGCCTGTGCTAGACCCTTTTTTGAGGAAAAAAGGGAGGTTGGAACTGAATGCCAAGCAGTACTTATGGAAGCTTTTATGAAAAATCTTTTTGTCTGTTTGGATGGGCATGAGGTTGGGCTAAGAGAAAAAAATCGAATTTTGGAAATCACGTGACGTCATGGCGGCCATTTTGGATTTCTCATTTCTCACTAAGCCTAACACGAAAACGAATTTTTCTCCATGAAATACTTAAAAGATATTGTTTTTTTCACTGGATTTTGATAAAGATATATAAAATGAACAAAAATATCAATAGCAGTCATGAGCAAATCCGCCACGAACACGCGCATCACGTCTGTCGCTGCCATGATCACCTGCGGATTGCAATACCTTGTTTTTACTTTCACTTTCACTTTCATCCCCAAGTCCCATATCATTATCAATATAGTCAGTCAATAGATCTACACGTTCGGGACTCAGGAATTGCCTACGTCTTTTACGATCCAGCAGGCCAGCATTATTATCAACATCAGAATTATTGTCAGAATCTACTGCAGACACAGGGCTATCGTGTTCACATTCGGCTTGTTCATCATGCACGGGAGACATGGGCGGAATGTCGCGCAACAAATCACACACTTCATAATACCAATCACTGTCCTGACTACTATCATTATCAAGTAACTGGAAACGAATTATGTGTATCACCCGCCTCGAAATTGTCCACGTGTTGGTCAGCAAGACGTCATTCACGACTTCGTCGAGAGTGCATCGTCTACGTTGTCACTATGCACTCCGCCATTTTACGGTTTGCCGCCTTGAAACACGTGGAAATATGTTCTAGTGTATAGAAAATACAATAGATGGCTCTTGCAGTTACGGTACTAATTTTAGCGAGGGCTTTACTGAGTACACGGTAATACCAGGTACGCGCATTTTACCTACATTTTATAATACCCGGTACTACCGGGTATACGCAGTGAAGGGGTTAATGTGTCTTAAAACGTTATTTTTATACGCCCACATTTTCATGTGGACGTATATTGTCATCGCCCCTGTTTGTCCGTTCGTCCGTCCGTCGTCCACAATTTGTTTGTGGACACTCTACAGGTCACAATTTTTATCCGATTTCAACGAAACTTGAAATATAGCTTTATCTCCCTAAGATCTCTGTTCCTTTCGATATTGGCATGTATCGGACCATAACTTCATGGATTATGGCCCCTGATTGTACGAAAAATCACGTTTTTAGCTTGTAGACACTCTAGAGGTCACAATATTGATCCGATTTTGATGAAACTTGAAATGCATGTTTATAACCCAAAGATCTTGGTTCCTTTCGATATTTGCGCATATCGGATCATAACTTCCTGAATTATGGCCCCTGATTGTACGAAAAATCGCGTTTTTAGCTTGTGGACCCTAAAAAGGTCATGAATTTTATCCGATTTAAAAAAACGTATTATTATATCACCGTTACACCCTAAGGACGGCTAAGTTCGAATTTTGTAAAAATCGGCCCAAAACTGCCAGACAAGATGGCCGTCGTTCGTTCTCAAATAGCGTAAAAATATGGTATATCGAGGTTGTGGACCCTATAGAGGTCACAATTTTAATCCTATTTTGATGAAACTTGAAATGTAAGTTTATAACCCAAAAATATTGGTTGCTTTCGATATTTGCGCATATCGGACTGTAACTTCCTGAATTATGGCCCCTGATTGTACGAAAAAATCACGTTTTTAGCGTCATAATTTTTATCCGATTTGAAAAACCGTATTATTATATCGCGGCTACACCCTAAGAACGGCTGAGTTCAAATTTCGTGAAAATCGGCCCAAAAATGACAGACAAAATGGCCGCCCTTCGTTCTCAAATAGCGTAAAAATATGGTATATCAAGGTCTCAATTTTTCTCTGATTTTGTTGAAACTTGAAATGTAAGTTTATAACCCAAAGATCTCGGTTCCTTTCGATATTCGTGCATATCGGACAGTAACGTACTGAATTATGGCCCTTGATTGTACGAAACATCCTGGGGGATCGAATATTTTTATTCCATCCGAACGATTATACGTTGTCTCTTGCCAGGCTCTCCGTCCTACACCACTGACAAGGGTGGACACCGCCAGAAACATTTACGATGAACTTTGATGAAGTTAGTGAGCAAGTGTCCTACTCACTGAGCCACCGTAGAACCAACTTCATTTCGATTCTGGACACGGGACCTCGTTTTTTTAATCCCATTCGACAACTATACGTTGTCCCTTGTTAGACTATCCGTCCTACAGCACTGACAAGACCACGCATAAAAAAAAAAAGAAGAACGTTGATGAAGTTAGACTTAGAGAGCAAAGAAAGATTTGACTGAAGACTTAAAATTGATTACAGAATACAATACTATCTGTGCAAGAAGATATTAAATAGGCTTCTTTATTTTATGATCAGTAGTGGAATATCGCGTTTTATCAGTGAAATAAAAGTGTTATTCCACCTCCCTTGCGTCGTCTGCTTTTTTAAACTATTAATTCAATCAAGCCAGTACCTTCAACGACAACACCATGGCCTCTGCAAAAGAAATTAAAATTTTAATGCAGGACGACAATTTACATGTAGAATATGGGAATTTTGAATTAATTCTGGAACAGGACAAACCGAAAATGGTAGATTTAAAGAAATTACAGAAATGGATATTAACAATTTTCTGGAGGAACAAGAAAACCTAAACACAAGAAAAAAAACCAGTGGTGATATCAAACTGTTTCAGAAATTCCTTATTTCAAAAGGAAACAATAGCTTAATGGAAGCAATTCCTGCACAAGATCTCAACATACTAATTTCAAAGTTTTTGCTGTCGGTGAAAAATACAGATGGAAATGAATACGAACCATCTTCTTTACGTTCTTTCTTTGCATCTTTCGACAGACATCTAAGGGAAAAAGAATATGGTTTATCATTAATAAAAGATCTTGCATTCGAAAAGTGCCGACAAGTACTGAAAATGAAACAAAAAGATTTAAAAGGAAAAGGAAACAAACCTCATGCTGCAGACCCCATTAATGATGAGGACATAGAAAGAATGTTTGTTACCAAGACACTTGGAGAAAGCACTCCACAATCATTAATTCATTCACTGTGGATGATTTGCACAGTGCAATTTGGTATGAGAACAGGTCAAGAAGTTCACAATTTAAAATGGGGAGACGTCACATTAAAGGCTGATCTAAATGGAGACGAATATCTTCAATATGACACGGAACGTCAAACTAAAACAATAACAGGCACCAATCCTAGGGATGTAAGGTAACCTATTGTTTATAAAAAAGTTTTTTATCTATATATATTCATATCAGATTAAAGATTTTAAACAAGCCTGGTTCAATTCCAAATTTTTGTGAAAAAGTTCAAATCTAGTAGACTACAGGGATTTTTGAAGTAAAGCCTAGCTAAGGCAAAAAGGTTTTTTCCTGCAAGTTGTAATTTTTGCGAGCTTCATTCATATTGAAATTTTAATTTACAAAATCCACGAATTTTTGATCCAAAATTATTAAATTATTTAAACTGTAATAATTTTATGCACTTAGAAATACTAAATTTCCCAAAAATCACAGTAATATTAAAATATTGTTTTTTTTTTTAGACTCACAAAACCCAGGGCATATGCCATACCGGAATGTAAAGACAAGGACCCTGTCCATATCTACAAATGTTACGTATATTGCCGTCGCCCCTGTCCGTCCATCTGTCGTTACGTCCGTCCGTCCATCGTCCACAATTTCTTGTGAATGCTCTAACGCCAAAAGTTATCATCCAATTGTTTTAAAATTGATATATGTTGTTTCCATTAGTGAGATGAAGAAGCCTATTTAATTTCAATAATTTCCGTTTATTACTTCTAGAGTTATGGCCCTTGTTTCACTTTATTGAACCTTGTGAACGCTCTAACTCCAAAAGTTATCATCCGATCTTTCTGAAATTTACATGCATTATTTAAATTAGTGAAACAAAGAATCCTATTGAATTTCAGCAATTTCCGTTTATTATGTCTAGAGTTATGGCCCTTGTTTCACTTTATTGAAAAAAGTTATCCCCTGATCTTTGTGAAATTATATGCATGATTTAAATTAGTGAAACGAAAAAGGCTATTGAATTTCAGCAATTTACAATAATTACTTCTAGAGTTATTGCCTTTGTTTCACTTTGTTAAACCTTGTTAATGCTCAATTGATGATAATGTAAGAGATAAGGTGGCTGTGAAGACCTGGTTATCCCGAATGTCAGTGACTAGTTTCGTTCGTATTGAACTCTTCAGACTGATTGGACTCACGTGTTGGGCGTTTATATTTATACTATTCCGAAACCCGGAGGGGTTTCTATGGTTACTAATTGGCGGGGTTACAGGGGTTGGCCCCTTGGAGGGGTTTGCGAATTTGTTACCGGGGTCGGTAGCTCGCTTACCAGGGTTGTACAGAGGTTTGACAAATTGGCGGGGTGCCGAATTTGTTACCGGGGTCGCTAGCTCGCTTACCGGGGTTGTACTAATCGTTTAGATTGAAGTGCTAGTGTCCATAATTTTGCTAACTAGGGTGCCTTGGGTTGGTTTGTAACATTGTTACTTGTCATAACAATGAAGGGATAGTATATAGACAAGGGTGTTGATGTAACACCCATGAGAGGGGTATAAGGCTAAATATAAATCCAAAGTTGGAACACTCAGGGGTAGAGCATTGTGATACAAAAATAAAAATGGTTGGAGTGCCCAAGTTTAGATTTGTCGTTGATTCCATGAAGTAGTTAGGTTTTAGAACGTTAAATACTGTGTGATTCAACATGGCGCCCAAGGGGTTTAATATAAAATAGGTACGAAATAGTACCAAATGGTTTATTGGTATGAGAGTCAAGGTTTAGACTATAATGCCTTGGAAATCGGAAGTTGGAGACGACTAATATGTGTCTCTCTTATGTGGACCGATGTGAGATTGTCCGTTGTGTTAATTGGTACTATTTCGTACCTATTTTATATTAAACCCCTTGGGCGCCATGTTGAATCACACAGTATTTAACGTTCTAAAACCTAACTACTTCATGGAATTAACGACAAATCTAAACTTGCTTGATTGATGATAGTTATCATCCGATATGTATGAAATTAATATGCATCATTTAAATTTGTGAAACAGGTCTATTGAATTTCAGCAATTTCCGTCAATAATTTCTAGAGTTCTGGCGATTGTGAACGTTTGAATTACAAAAGTGATCTGTATGAAATTTAGATGCATTGTTTAAATTAGTAAAACGAAAAAGCCTGTCAAATTTCAACAATTTCTGTAGATTACTTCCAGAGTTGAGACCCTTGTTTCAGTTTGTAGAACCTTGTAAACCCTCAAACGACAAAATTTATAATCTGATCTGTATGGAACTGTCTTGTTAAGGCCCCCAATTACCTACAAAGGAATAAATATGCGACAACCCTTGACGACCGCTCGGACGATTTAGCTGCTGTGGGCGTATGGTTTGTTGCCTGGCAACCTATCTTTTTCTGACTGTATCATCTCGAAATCCTTAACCAGGACAGTTATGGTTCAAGGCACAACCAATGGGCATAAACAAATTGTATTCCATATTGAAAAATATGAAAGAGGAAGCTGGGCTAACAGGAACTGATAAACGTATAACACCATACAGGTATGTTCATGTTGCGATTACCAAAAGCTTTAAACTTCAACAAACAATAACAATAGTAAAGTAGATCTCACCTTTAATCTGTGCATATCTAGTCATAAGATATAGGGCATCTAAACTCTAAACCACTAACTTTGTCCAGAAAACTAACATACCATGTCGTTACGAACTAATTGGTTAGGACGTATACCATGTAGCTTAACTCTAGTTGACCACCACCCATATTCGTGATGATTTAATTTAATATAGTGCCACTTTTTTAAAATACATCTACACATTGCGTGACAAAAAAATAGAGCAATCTTCTTGTATGTGTCTAAATTCCAATGCTGTAGTTATATTCGATATAAAAAGCAACCTGTAATAAAATTGTAAAAATATAGATATCTAATTGATTGCTTTTTGTTTTTTATTTTTTATTTTCAGTGCACGTAAACACTTAGTACAAAAGTTAAACGATGGTGGAGTTGCACCAAACCAAATCATCCAAATATCGGGACACAAAAATGTCAACTCTTTGAATAATTATAGTTGCCTACCCTGATCAGAGCAAGCAAATTTCGCACATATTAGCCAACAAGCATCCGCACACTGTCAGCACTCGTCCAAAAGTACCATTACCAGCCCCAAACTGCAGAATCCAAGAACCAAAGCCAATGTATGCAAATCTACCTATGCCACAAGGTTCTGACAGTTTTTTTTGCTAATAGTATTTTCAATGGCACTGTCAATATAACGTTGAGAACAAGTCAGAGCACCAGACTGCGTACACAAACACAGACTGCGTACACAAGTTCATCTGTAAGGCAAAATAACGAACCTCCATGTTTAAGTAAAAAAATAAGTAAGAGCGCAAATGTATTTACAGTAAGGGAGCACTGACTTACATGTAGTAAACAGTACCATAGTAATAATTATTATTAAGTAAAATAATACAACTTACTAGTTATGTCACGGTCCAGGATGGATATTTGCTGACTAATGTTTATTATTTTGATGTTAAGTTATTTAATATTATTGTTATTCACCATTGTCACTATTTTGACATTCACAGCATTAATGTATTTTCTTAGATTATATTATCTTATAACCCAACTTGGCCATGACACAGCTGTAAGCAAAGGCGATAATTTCAGTAAACTTTTGCAAATTCAGTACATATTGACATATTATTATTATTATATAATTATTATTTATTTATTGACTATATTGACATTGGTCATTGTTGTTTATTTTATTTTACTCTATAATATATATTTATTAAATATTAAATAAAGTGTTGATTTAAAAAAAAACGTGTTTATTATTTATAAAAACTTACTACCTAAAATATTTGTTGTCAAGAAACCATATTCTGCTGCAGATATCATTAGCACTAGAGTAGCACAAGCATCATGGGCAACAACGTTTCCGCCATTTCCGGTGTCATTGACATTCTACAATATTGAATAACACAAAAATTAATGAAAGTAATTTTTAAAAGAAAAGCTAAATACCATACCTCTTGTGATCTTGAGGCGTTAATTGGTCACAACCAAGTCTTGTTAATAATTTTAGACAGAAAGTCTGGTGATGATGGGGCACTGAGGGGGGTGGGGTGATAACCACATGACAACTAACATTAAGGCTAGCCTACCCTGCTTAGTGACAACTGACATCGGATCGGAAAGCACTGGCTCTCCCATCAAGAAAACCCTTTTTATTTGCCAACCAAATGTCCACGGTATTCACACCAAAGTTACTGATGGATGGTAGGCCTAATAAAACACTAGCCTATTCTTAAATTAATGTAAAGTTGTCAAAATAAACCTAACTACGCGACGGTCACAACTCACCACGTACGGTCACTAGTTCAAGTCGTTGAGTTGAGTTGTGTAAGTGTTGTTGTCAAGACCCGTGGCATGATTTTACATCGCTTGACTTACATGTATTTCAATAAACACATCGATATCAGTAAAAGTAACATGTCCTGAAAAAAGTAATAATCCACACATTCACAAACGCCAGGAAAACACTTTTTAGTGACAAAATTATGAAAACAATATGGCCCAAACGCCGACTTGTCGATCGTTACATTCTCAAAGGTATTCATACACCAGAAGCAGATAAAGATGTAAAGCGGTCTAACCCCCCCGTGTTGTCCAAGCGGACAAAGTAGTCCTTGTTGTTTTTACCTAAAATGATTGTAAAATCATAAAATAAATAGAACATTTGTTGTTTTGTCGTGCATTCGTGAAAATATAAACGTTTTCTTGCTTCTCGATGAAATGAAATATGTTATTCACTCTAAAACGACAAATATCCTCTAAATAGTAACGGTGATATACTAAAACATTTTTTCAAAGCGGATAAAAATTGTGACCTCTAGAGGGACCACAAGTTAAAAGCGCTATTTTTCGTACAATCAGGGGCCATAATTCAGGAAATTACAATCCGATATGCGCGAATATCGAAAGGAACCAAGATCTTTGGGATATAAACATGCAATTCAAGTTTCACCAAAATCGGATGAAAATTGTGACCTCTAGAGGGTCCACAACCTTGATATACCATATTTTACACTATTTGAGTACAAGGGAAGGCCATTTTGTCCGGTAGTTTTGATCCGATTTTCACGAAATTCGAACTCATAGCGGTGATATACTAAAACGTTTTTATACGCCCACATTTTCATGTGAAACTTCCAATCAGTAGAAACAGGAAGTCAAAAATGATGCATTTGATATTCAGATAAGTTGATATAAAATAACTAACAGAATACAATATCAAAAAACCATCATTTTATCCAACGTCATAGACTTAGATACATAACGTGAAAGGTTAGCTTAACTAAAACTAAGGACTAAGGTAAAATTTTACAAGTAAGGAAAACTTATGCATGATTATGAATGATTTTAAAACCCCCTGGATTTAACTCATTTAAACCGTTAGGCCAAACTGAACCAAGTCTATGAATCCACAGACTTTCTGCTGTGTTCAATTTTTTCTGATCTTTATCAGGAATTTTTTGTACTATGGTACACACGAAATCATGACCCGGTATATTAAAATGGGAGGTTACATGGGGGTAATGGCCAGATTTTTTAAGCTTATATTCTTCTGTGCCTATTAAGTCTGAGTGCTGAAAGGAGTAATGGTTTGGCCTACATATTGCATACTACAGGTTTTACATGTTAAACAATATACAACATAAGAACTGGCACAGTTAACAGAGTCTCTAATCTTGAATGATTTCATGTCTTTACTGGTTACTTCTTGATTATTACACATAGTCTCGCATGATTTGCATAATTTTCGTAAACAAGGTTGACATCTGTATGAAATTTTGTCCTTAATATGTTTATTACTAGTGTCAGAAGTTCTCAACTTTTTTTTTTTAAAGATATTGCCAATAGTGTGGTTCTTCCTCTCTGCTATTATTATTTTGCTGCTATTCATAATTTTCGTCATACGTGAACTTGTGTCTAAAATACTTCGGTCTTTAATCATTTGGTGAAGGTGAGGTTGTCTAGGGTCAAAGGTAGTTGTCCATGGAATAATGTTCACATTAGTATCGGTCTTGGATTGGTAGGTCAATAATTCAATCCTGGTCTTCTGATCTGCGCGTTTAAATGCCTTTAGAATAATTTTCTTGGGATATCCGGATTGTTTAAGATAGGATCCAAAATTTTTTAGGTTTGATTTGGTTCAGCTATCTTTACTACAAATCCGTTTTATACGTAGAGCACCACTGTAAGGGATAGCGTTAAAGGTGTGTTTGGGATGACAACTTGATGGAGGAAGATAATGATGGCAATCTGTTCTCTTGGAATATAGATTTGTCTCTAACTTTTCTTTTTCTTTGACAACTTTTACATCTAGGAAATTAATTGAGTTACTATTTATATCTACAGTAAATTTGATCTTTGGATGTTGTTGGTTTAATTTTGAAACAAAATTATTACATTCTTCTAGTGGGAGAGAAGATAAAGCCCAAATATCATCGATGAATCTGCATGAAATATCTGGTTTATTACTATTATTAGGTAATGGTTCATAGTAGGTTTTCATCCAGTATGACATATAAATGTTAGCAAATGTCACAGCAAACGGAGTTCCTATGGCAGTCCCCGATATCTGTCTATAAAACATACCAGAAAATTCAAATTCATTGTTGTGAAGAACAAAATCTGCTATTTGTAGAATTGATTCTGAATCTTCATAAGTCATAATATTAGTTTCATGTAATGCATGTTTAAGTGCTTCTAAACCTTCAGAAATAACAATATTCGGATATAAACTGATAATATCAAGAGTCATAAGCTTACCATTCTTAGTGTAACTCTCCCTCAAATTAGCCTAGAATTTGATCTTAGGGTTGGAGTCGTTTAGATTTCAGGTCATTTGCGTGTACCACAAAGGCATATCTTACCTATAAAGACAAATACAAAATAGACGTATTTTAGTATTTATTAATAATAGTTAACAAACATCTGCAATAAAATCACTCAAAATGACCAGAGTGATAAATTTCCCACAATGCAATTAATGAAGCGTAAAACAAAGAATTGGATCTCTAGTTACCTTGACATTAATTAGGTTTGTCTAAAACATGGCATTGGAGAAATCATTACAGATGCCTGATTAGCAAATATTAATACAGTTTCTGGATTCAATAATTAAATTAGTAGACATTGATAATTTTTTGTAGGGTCCTAAATAATATTCCTAATAGAATATTAGAGATGGCTACATTAGGAATAAATTGTTTATAGCTTCTATCTTTTGAAGGAATTGAGTGGTGTCTTTAACTAATTCAGGGCAGTAAAGCTGTGGCACCGGTTGTAATTTCCAGTCAAGCCAAGAAGAAGCTTTACAAGTAGGTGCTGTAACTTGGCTACATATGGGTCTTCCTGGTGGTATATCAGTAGGATTGGGAACTTTATGAACTTTTCCTAAAATGTAGAAATGGGCTGGTTTATCAACAGGTCTGTCCAAGATAGCTTTCCGTTCATTTTCCAGAATTTTAAGGCCAGTCACTAATTTTGTCAATTGTCCATGAATCTTGCTTGAATTGTCTCCACTAACTTTCTCAAAAACAGAGTTATCTTCTAGATGTTTCATACCCCTGTCCGTCCGTCCACAATTTGTTTGTGGACACCCTACAGGTCACAATTCTTATGCGATTTTTACAAAACTTGAAATATAGGTTTATCTCCGAAAGATCTCGGCTGCTTTGGATATTGACATGTATCGGATCGAAACTTCATGGATTATGGCCCCTGTTTGTACGAAAAATCACGTTTTTAGCTTGTGGACCCTATAGAGGTCACAATTTTTATCCGATTTTGTTGAAACTTGAAATGTATATTGATAACCCTAAGATCTCGGTTTCTTTTGATATTCGCGCATATCGGACCGTAACTTCCTGAATTGTGGCCCCTGATTGTACGAAAAATCACGTTTTTAGCTTGTGGACCCTATAGAGGTCATAATTTTTATCCGATTTAAAAAAACGTATCATTATATCACTGTTACACCCTAATGACGGCTGAGTTCAAATTTCGTGAAAATCAGCCTAAAATTGACAGACAAAATGGCCGCAGTTCGTTCTCAAATAGCGTCAAAATATGGTATATCAAGGTTGTGGACCCTATAGAGGTCACAATTTTTATCCGATTTTGTTGAAACTTGAAATGTAAGTTTATAACCCAAAAATCTTGGTTGCTTTCGATATATGCACATATCGAATTGTAATTTCCTGAATTATGGCCCTTGATTGTAGGAAAAATCACTTTCTTTTTAACTTGTTCTCTATCCATCTCTCGAAAATGTGGGCGTATCCTGCCTGGCAGCCGCTGGTTTTAAACCGGATAAAAATTGTGATCTCTAACACCATTACACACTAAGATCTTGGTTCCTTTTGATAATCGCAAATACCCGAACTTAACTTCGTAGATTATGGCCTCTGATTGGTTGAAAAATCACATTTATAGCTTGCAGATTCTCAAGAGGTCACAATGTTTTTCCGATCTCAAAAACCGTTTAAATACATCACCATTCCACCATAATTTCGGGAAAATTGAAATGAAACTGCCCGACAAAATGGCCGCTCTTTGTACGCAAATTGTGTAGAAGTGTGTAATACGAAGGTTGTGGACCCTCTAGAGGTCACAATTTTTATTTTTATCCAATTTTGATGAAACTTAAAACATATCCAGTGCACTCTGTCACATCCGACATCGTATGGGATCGTTACAATATGTCGGATTACGCAGAGTGTCGGAATACTCAGTTTTCTCATAACTGGAAATATTGTAACTTCGAAAACCGGAAGTATTATTATAATGTAGCTTCGAACATAGGACTTCGAATCACCAGAATGTTATTCCCTTTAAAAATGATAAACCTTTCTGTACATTCAAAATTTTATTACATTAATTTTTATACGCCCACATAGAAATATGGACGTATAATGCCTTCGCCTACGTCCGTCCGTTGTCCACAATTTCTTGTGAACGCTCTAACGCCGAAAGTTATCATCCAATTGTTTTAAAATTGATATATGTTGTTTACATTAGTGAGATGAAGAATCCTATTTAATTTCAATAATTTCCGTTTATAACGTCAAGAGTTATGGCCCTTGTTTCACTTTGTTGAACCTTGTGAACGCTCTAATGCCAAAAGTTAACATCTGATCTTTGTGAAATTTATATGCAATATTTAGATTAGGGAAACGAAGAAGCCTATTGAATTTCAGCAATTTCCGTCTATTACTTCTAGAGTTATGGCCCTTGTTTCACTTTGTTTAACCTTGTGAACGTTCTAACCCCAAAAGTTATCATCCTATCTTTCTGAAATTTATATGCATTATTTAAATTAGTGAAACGAAGAAGCCTATTTAATTTCAATAATCTCCGTTTATAACGTCTAGAGTTATGGCCCTTGTTTCACTTTGTTGAACCTTGTGAACGCTCTAATGCCAAAAGTTAACATCCGATCTTTGTGAAATTTATATGCAATATTTAAATTGGAGAAACAAAGAAGCTTGTTGAATTTCAGCAATTTCTGTTTATTATGTCTAGAGTTATGGCCTTGTTTCACTTTATTGAACTTTGTGAATGCTCTAACATCAAAAGTTATCTGCCGATCTGTATGAAATTTACATGCGTCATTTAAATAAGTAAAGAGAAGAATCCTATTGAACGGGACGGGAAGAGATTTTTTGACTGAAGTAATAAGTAAATAAATCGGGACAGCTTGTTCTCTAGCAAAATGTGGGCGTATCCTGCCTGGCAGCCGCTGGTTATCTCATTTTGTTGAATTTTGAAATGTAAGTTTATAACCCAAAGATCTTGGTTCCTTTCGACATTTGCGCATATCTGACCGGTAAGTTCCTGAATTATGGCCCCTGATTGTACGAAAAATCATGTTTTTTTAGCTTGTGGACCCTATGGAGGTGACAAAACGTTTGATTATATCACAGTTACACTTTAATGACAGATGATTTCAAATTTTGTGAAAATTGGACCAAAACTGCCGAACAAAATGGCCACCCCTCGTATGCAAACGGTGCAAATATATAGTATATCGAGGTAAGGTTGTGGACCCTGTAGAGCTAACAATTTTGATCCGATTTTGCGCATATCCGATCGTAACTTTCTGAATTATGGCCCTTGACTGTACAAAAATTCGCGTTTTTAGCTTGTGGTCCCTCTAGAGGTCACAATAAATATCTGATTAAAAAAAACGGTGTGAATAAATCACCGTTACAGGGTACACCGTAATGATGGTTGAGTTTGAATTTCGTGAAAATCGGACCAAAACTGATGGACAAAATGGCGGCCCCTTGTATAACGTAAATGGTGTAAATGTGTTGTATATCAAGGTTGTAGACCTTCTAGAGGCCACAATTTTTTTCCGATTTTGATGCAACCTTAAATTTATGCTTATATCACAAAGATCTTGGTTACTTTGGATAATCGTGTGTATCCGAACGTAACTGGATGCCGAATGGTTAGCACGTGCATGCTGTATAAGGTCTGTTATTGAGTCAACTGGCGTGGTTTCGATTCCCTGGTTGTACGTGACAAGAAGTAGGGTCGCCTGTCCAACCTCGTGGATTTTCTCTGGGTCCTCTGGTTTCCTCCCACTGCTAAAGACCCCTACGCTCAAGCAAATTATTGAAATAAAATTGAACCATGTTTTAGACCCAAAATGACCTGGTTTGTGTCGAGTGGATGTTAAACCCTCTCTCTCTCTCTTTCTCTCTCCCAAGGTAACTTCCTGGAGTATGGCCCCTGATAGTACTAAAATTCGCATTTTTAGCTTGTAGACCCGATAGAAGTCACAATTTGTATTCAATTATAAAAACTGTTTAATATATCACCGCTCCTTCTATGCAAATAGTGTTAAAGTATGTCATACCAAGATTGTGGGCCCTCTAGAAGTCAAAATTGTTATCAGATTTTAATGAAACTTGAAATACATGTTTATAACCCACAGATCTTGGTTCCTTTCGATATTTGTGCATATCGGATCATAACTTCCTGAATTATGGCCCTTGATTGTACAAAATTTAGAGGTCACAATTTTTTTCCGATTTAAAAAAAAACATGTCAATATATCACCGTTACACCCTAAGATACATGATACATGTCAATATATCACTGTTACACCCTAAGATCTTGTTTCCTTTTGATAATCGCACATATCCGAACATAACTTCCTGGATTATGGCCCCTGATTGTTCGAAAAAAACGCATTATTAGCTTGTGGATTCTCTAGAGGTCACAATTTTTTTTCCGATTTTAAAAACCGTTGAAATATATCACAATTTCAGCACAGTGAAGGTTGAATTCGAATTTTGTTAGAATTGAAATGAAACTGCTCGACAAAATTGCCGTCTCTGTACGCAAATTGTGTAAATGAATGTAATACAAAGGTTGTGGACCCTCAAGAGGTCACAATTTTTATCCGATTTTTATGAAACTTGAAATGTATGTTCATAACCCAAAGATCTCGGTTCCTTTCGATATTCGAGCTATCTGATTAAAATACAGATCTATATTTCATTTTGTTTTTTTATACTTTCGATGACCTACTCTACACGAAGATCTGACAAGTTATAGCGATAAGTCACGTCAGGGGTCAAAAGACTGACTTTTGACCTATGACGTCAGACATTTGATTAACCAATCAGCATTGATGTTACTAGTGGATTATCCACAGTTCCGTGCAAAACACGCCCAAATCTTGCCATGACAGACCGTTTCATTGGCTTATCCCTGACACCATTCAGAACACGAGTTAATTAACAACTCTTCCAGATCCAAGTGTAGTAAAGACAAGTAAAACGAAATTCTGAACTATAAAAACAAAACGAAATAGGATCTGTGTTTTAACCAGATTGATATTCGCTCATATCGGACTATATCTTCCTGGATTATGGCCCCTGATTGTACAAGAAATCGCATTATTTTTTTAGCTCATTCTCTGTCTATCTCTTGCAAAATGTGGGCGTATCTTGCATGGCAACCGCTTGTTGTGGTAATCACATACATTAGAATACAACATTCTCCATAACAAATTACCAAGAATTATTTTTGTTGAAAACTGGTTATATTAAAAGTAAAGGTAATGGAAGCTTATAATTACCCTATTTCCTACCGGAACCTCATTTGACCCAATTCTGGTTGGTTCGTTTTAAAATGGATTAAGAACCCTGCCTAGGACTATTGGCATTGCAATAGGATATTGCGCCCAATATCACTCAGGCCTATTTGACCTTTCGGGATCTTTTGAAGCCGAAGGTTATTATATGTAACATTCTAAAAAGAAGTCGGAATGACTTACTGAAGAAAAGTAATGTCCTTCTTTCTATTCTCGGGGGTATCACAATTTATACAGTCAACTGCGCAGCATGAACGAACCATTTTCATACGAATATGAAGACGTTAAGTGTAACATTTACATACTAAACCGGCGCCATCTCGATGTCTTCTGTCACAGCCATAAGTCAGTGCTTCTTTACCATAGAGTCTAGGCCCATGACCCAGTACGGTACATGTAATTTGGCTAAAGGAGATAACATAATCTTACACACCTTTGGGTGTTATTTCCTTTGATATCCCATGCATGTCATGAAACGTTATACATCACCCTGCAATGAAAAAGGACACACGTTCTTTTCTTTTAACATTTTATTCACTTTTTTGTACAATGTTGTCAAATGATTGGGACGACGATGAACTTTGCCAGGCCCATGTTACTTGGTGAAATGAAATGAAATGAAATGGAGTTTAACGTCCTACTGTTTTGCACCTATACTGGGCTAATGAAGACGGGCATACGCCATACAGTGTGCTATGAGGGAAATTTTGCCCGGGCAGTGGGACTATATAGCCTACTCTTATATCAAATTCCAACTGCCAGGGGATCTTTTACGTGCATTCCAATATATACACGAGACCTCAGTTTTTCGTCTCATCCGGAGGAGTAGACAGCTGTCCTTGTCAGGCCCTCCGTCCTGCATCACTGACAAGAGGAAACCACGCTTGAAAATCTGGATGAACTTTCTCGGCCAATGCAGGGTTCGAATACCCGACCTCCAGGCTAGCGAGCCAGCGTCTCACCCACTTAGCCACGTGATCCCCATGTTACTTGGTTTCTTCATCTGACCATCAAGAACTTGTCTAAAACTCTCAAATTCTGGATTGTGTAGTATATCCACACCAGTTTTATTCGCAATCCGTAAATGTGAAACTATTCCCATAACTAAATACGGAATTCGGTGGGTAATATTTAACATTTTATTTTGCTTACTTCCAAGATGAAAGTAGACATACAAAAATTAAGATCTTTTGTACTCAGTCATATCTTTCAGCGCACACAGGATTTTTCGCTCACTTCCGTGTTTATTATTCTGCCACACTGACCAAATGTTAAAAAAGTTCACAGCCCACTGATTTCTTTGTAAGGTATTTATGGGCACGGCATTGTTGGCACATTCGCTGACGTCTTTTTGTCACTTGAAGTTTGATCATACTCATAATAAAGAGCAAATCACAACTCCTTTCCTAGTTTAAAATACTTTTTTCAGTCAGCTGATTTGGAAATTGTCAGTGCTCTTTCGCCTACAAAATTAATTGTCTATTTCCTATTTCTTCTTTTTAGGCAATATGGCTGCAGGAGGATCTAGCAAATCATATCGCAACATCAATAATATGTCTAAAGATCTTCTAGGAAAACGTGTTGTAAAATTATCAAACTATCATGCGTTCTTGCAGAAACTAGGAAGGAATTTGTGCTCTGATAATCAGCTTACAGAAACTTTAAATTGGGAAAGACTTGCAGAAGAACTAGGATTGTGCACATATGAGGTAGAAAACATCCATCGATATGCCTCATTTCAAAAGATATATCCTGGAAGTGTGCTAATTAGACAATGGGGTGAAAGTGAAGGTAGCACTGTATATGTGCTTCTTAAGGCATTGAGGAAAATAGGACGAGAGGATTGTGTTGAAGAGGTTTGTCAGGCACTTGAAGGTAAGAAACAGGAACTAAAGTTCACGATTAGAATTTGTAATTTTTGTATTCTGACATCCGTCCAACCTCCACAATTGCTTGTGGATGATCTAGAGGCTAAAGTTAATATCCGATTGACTTATAACTTAGTAATATATACATTGTTTATGTAACGAGACAAAGAAGGTTATTGAATTTCAGCGATTTACATTAATTATTGTCAGAGGTATGGCCCTTGACCACTTTGAAAAGTCTTGTGGACACTCTAGAGGCCAAAGTTATTATCCGATTGACTTCAAACTTATACACATTCATTATGGTCATGAGACAAGGAAGCTTATTGATTTTCAGTGAGTTCCCATATTTCGTGAAATATGTAATATCAAGGTTGAGGACCCTCTAGATGTCACAAATTAAATGTCCCGATTTTGATGAAACTTAAAATAAATGTTTATATCCCTTGTTATGGCCCTTGTTTCACTTTGTTGCACCTTAGGAATGCTCTTACATCAAAATTTATCTGCCGATCTGTATGAAATTTACATGCGTTATTTAAATTAGTAAAAAGAAGAATCCTATTGAATTTCAGCAATTTCCGTTTATTACTTCTAGAGTTATGGCCCTTGTTTCACTTTGTTGCACTTTCTGAACACTCTAACCTCTAAAGTTATCTGCCAATCTGTATGAAATTTATATGTGCCATTTAACTTAGTAAAAAGAACAATCCTATTGAATTAAAGCAATTTCCGTTTATTACGTCTAGAATTATGTCTCGTTTCACTTTATTGAACCTTGTGAACGCTCTAACGCCGAAAGTTAACATCCGATCTTTGTGAATTTTATATGCATTATTTAAATTAGTGAAACCACAAAGTGACACAAAGCCTATTGAATTTCAGCAATTTATGATAATTACTTCTAGAGTTATGGCCCTGGTTTCACTTTGTTGTCCCCCGCCTTTCGAAGAAAGCAGGAGACTATTGAAATGGGTTCGTCCGTCCGTCCGTCCGTCCGTCCGTCCGTCTGTCTGTCTGTCCGTCACACTTTTTGGGACACAATAACTCTCTTTCTAATTGAGCTACAATGTTCAAACTTGGTGTAGGTGTTTATTATGTGAATGCCTTGATGGAGTTCAAAGATGAGCTTTTTCAGCTTGGTTGATGCTTTGGGACACGATAACTTTAGTTCTAATTAAGTGAGAGTGATGAAACTTGGTGTATAGTTTCATTACATCATAACCTTGACTAAGTTCGATAATGAGCATTTTCTGCCCAGGGTAAACAGAGCGATAAGCAATTTGATTGGTCGAGACCTTGGAACACAATAACTCTCCTTCTAATTGAGCTAGAATCTTCAAACTTGGTGTAGGTGTTTATAAGGTCAATGCCTTGATGGAGTTCAAAGATGAGCATTTTCTGCTTAGGGTAAGCAGAGATAAGCTATTTGATTGGTTGATGTTTTTGGACACGATACCTTTAGTTCTAATTAAGTGAGAGTGATGAAACTTGGTGTATAGTTTCATTACATGAATACCTTGACTAAGTATGATAATGAACATTTTCTGCTCAGGGTAATCAGAGCGATAAGCAGTTTGATTGGTCAAGACTTTGGAACACAATAACTCTCATTCTAATTGAGTTAGAATGTTCACACTTGGCATAGATGTCTATTACTGTCTGTTCCAAGAGATACTCTGACTCTCAAATTCCTTGCCATTTCTTCAGTTTTTAATTTAAACGGCCAACAATTGGTGACATACCTGAAATTGTCATCCCGTTGCTCGCTTCGTCGAGCCCTAACGCCTAAAAGTTCGATAAGATCCACTCTCCTCTTGGAAATTTCACATATTTCGACATTGTTTCTTTCTCAAAACATCAACATTACGAGTGCATCTGCGTAATGGGAGACTTGCATTTCGCGTATAGGGTAGACAGGTATCTCCAAATCGGGTACATTCGGTTAGAAATATATAGTGAAGGAAAATTTGCCCGTTTCTTTTGCGACAGTAATACTTAGGTTTCAGAATGTGGATCATGTTTTTTGGTCGGATTAATATTATGTTCTGTTTTAACCCGCTTATTTTGCAGAAACTGCACATTAAGCCACTTGGTTTTTGGGAGTAAGGTCTAGAGATATGACATTTTTATAAACACTAAACTTTATTAGTTTTCCAAAGTACATAGGTTCTGATCAGCTGTATATAAATATTCAAAATATATTTGTCCAGATTATTTCCCTTTGGCCTTGCAGTTTTTAGCCTATAAACTAAATAATAATTATCCGATTGACACAGAATCAACGGCATGCTATACAAGTTGGCACTATCTATAATAATAATTAATACAAAATATTATCTTATCGCAAATTAGCTGATATATATCTGGATAGTCCTTGTAAATATGCAGAGCAAGGCGGGAATCCGTTTTCCCGCAAATGTTATTTAACTTTTTTTATTTTATAATATTTGTATTCTAAACATTTATCTACACGTAGGGTTGATATATAACATCAACCAAATATCCATGAATCATTTTGAATTTCTGCTATTTCTGAGAAATAGGCAGTTTTGTGGGAGTCACTTTTCAAAAGAATAAAATTTTGTTCTATTTTAATGACATTTGCTCGATTTGATACTGCAACTGTTCATTATTGTAACATTCTTGTCATTAGAAATGGCATCATTTTGGCAAAATTGGTACTTTTAGCCCTTATTAAACAAACTTTAATTTCAAATGTACCTGTTTGTTCATAATTAAATTTTAAAACTTTAATTCGACATATCGAAAAGCACTAACCACTGCGAACATATAAATATATCAAAAGATAGTTTGTAACTTTATTCAATTGTCCAAAGTACCTTTTTACGTTGTTTACCCAAACACATCTACAGTGATTTTGAAAAAAAAAAACAAACATATTTTCAACCCTTAAAGCAAACATGTTTTTTTCTAAAGAGTGTTATTCAGTGCCATTTAATAATGATGTTTACTAATTTCGCTTAAGTGATATTGTGTAGATATACGACCAAGCATTGGTCATTTTGTAAGGGTTCCACACGTTAACATGCTATCATAAATGGCAATTTCGCCTAAATAGTTAACACGTGTAACATGCTCATGGGAATATGTTAAGTGACGTCCGCTAAAGGATTACGAGCACCGGTGAAACCCGTCATGACTGCATCGCAGTTAAAGTTTTCCATAATTTTCTGAGCTCTTTCTAAACCCCCTTTTTGCAACATAAATACCGTTATTTTAATATTCCTCACAGTTTACTGCTGGATCTTAGATATTCATAGTATTGTTATTTGACAACAATTCAGATTTATTTCAGATATTCAGCTAGAAAAGACAAAAAAAGCGAATCTTCGAAAAATATAACCCCTTGAATAATTGATTATTGTTATCTACAGTTTATTATTTGAAGATGAAAATTACGCGAGATGTCAAGGAATGAACCAAACTATTATGTAGTTTTTTCGAGAAACAGAATTATTTACTCCTCGCAGTTTTTCATTTGAATAGATCTAATCCCACTTAACACTGCTGTAATGGAAGGAAATTTCTGTTCCAAATTATGATTGGTCAATAGTCCGATTAACAACCAATAGCTAACTGCGTAATAATTTCATTAGGCTTTAAACAGAGCTCCAAATTGGACCAAATATGTTTACATAACGTTATGTCATGACTCAAGAAATTTACGCCCAATTAACCAGTCCAAAATTGCAGAAAAACTTATTGCGTGACAAACGAGGCTGTCAAAACGGATACAATGTAAACAATACTGTTTGGGGACGAATAATACTTTCACGGTTTTTAATACCTTAAATCACTGTCCAAAGTTTCAGGGAAGACCTCAGATTAAACGAAGCGCTGTGATGTTGCTGTACTTGGGATTGATTTGATTGAACGGGAAGAATAGACACACTCCAGCAAAAGCTCAAGTATCAGAAGTCAATCCAGCAATGGCCAGAAAGGGATTTCTCGAGACAATAGCTTCAGGAATATGTGTTCTGCGTTGCATAACCTTGATTGAAGATATGAAATGAAATGATGTAATTGATGTTTAATGGCACGCCAGCATCAACCGGGCGCAATCTTGTTAATAATAAAACACAGATCCTATTTCGTTTCGTTTTTATAGTTACAAAAAAACTGAAACGAAATATAGATCTGTATTTTAATCAGATTGAACCGGGCGATAATATGCCAGACATAATTATTATATAAAAATCGTTTTATTTTTGTTGTAGGCTTCACGAGAAATTAGGTTGCATATACATTTAGTCTAATCATTGCTCCAGCCTAAATTCAACATTAAATTGTCTAAAGGCAAAGTCGTAAGCAAGGGAATAACTTATATTAACTATGCAATCCGCATATTATGGACCAAGTTATTTCCATCACATGCAGTTCAGGATGAAATTTGTACGCAGTTTATATGAATATCAAAACGCTACAGCCCTCAGGACCAATTAAATATTCAACTCAGTTGGACAAACTGCGGTGGTCTTGGATTCCGTAAAAATAAAAGTTATATTCTACTGGGCCGAAACAACTTCCTTGACATCCAAGTAGACCGAAACGACTCGAGCCAAACCAATGCACCCTCCCTCTTCGACTATTCCGGATAACTAGGTCAAACATGGCTGATGTTCAACAGCGGCATGTAAATAAACTATGATTTTTCATGAGAGAGAGGTTATATAGCTTGATCTGAATTTGGTTTCCTCGTGTAAGAAAGTAATGGGATGGCAATTCCAGGTATGTCACTAAGTTTTAGTGGTCTAAATTAAAAATTGAAGAAATGGCAAGCAATTTTCGTGTCGTAGTGTCACCTGGAACAAACAGTAGGTGAATGCCTTGATGGAGTTTGAAGATGAGAATTTTAGGCTTAGGGTTAGCAGAGATAATCAATTTGATTGGTTGATATACATGTAGGGGTGATGATTTTCCGCGGAAAAAACCCCCGGAAATCGCGGAATTCGGCACTCAAAACGGAATTTGAAATCTCACACG